ATTAAACTTAACTTCATATGACATGTTAGTTTCATAGTATGTTAGTTCAATGTCATATAAGGTTCACTGGTCTTTTATTTTTGTATTTATTCACATATGGAGCAAAACAATCGTGACAATTTATAGAATTTCCTGTAAATAAAAAAGGGACACTTCCCTAATTATTTATTTTAATACAAAATGATTTTATAAATATGATTTAATATAAAGAAAAACTCATGTTTTATCTTCCTTTTACTCTCTTTACCAGAGGTGCAGACAAATAACGCCCCGTTTAAAAAGACGTGCATATCAATAAATACATTTTGATTCTCTTTTTGTCGGGAATTTGAACTGAAAGCTTTAAGTCATGTTACTTTTTCACCTTTTCCCATTTAATTAGTCCCAAATAAACCAGGTTCTCCTTCCTGTGTGATCTTAAATGGCTCCCTGAGTGGTGCTCCTACACGCTGACGTCGTTAATGGGGCTCGATAGGTTGGGGTCCCTCTCTGGGACGGGGAAATAGCCGTTGGTGGGTTTTGTGGCTTCTCCTTCGGGGGCAAAAATGGCCAGCAGCCTCTCCTGCTCCCGTTTGGTTTTGGGCAAGTCATCCGACGGCGTGACCAGCAGCTGGATGCGCTGTAAGAAACAGATTTAAACCAAGATTTAGCAGGTAATAAAGTCTGCAGGAAGCCAAGGATGGATACCCAACTCCCCCACATCCAAGTCGGCCATTTTGATTAGGTCACCAATAGGAAGATCCCAGGCAAGAAAATCCTAATTGCTTCATGGCAATATAGACATTCATTTAAAAATAGTGAAATGAATCTTGCAAACAGTGAATTAAACTCTATAAATAATATTGTGTCAAAATAGTGGATGTTAAATAGGTTTGTACAATAAGTCCAAACAAGTTTAACCAAAAAATATTTATTTCTCACGATTATGAAGGGTTAGGGTTAGGGTTAGGTTTAGGGTCAGGTTTAAGGCTAGGTTTAGGGTTAGGGTCAGGGTCAGGGTTAGGTTTAGGGGTTAGGGTTAGGGTCAGGTTTAGATTTAGGGTTAGGGTTAGGGTTATGGTTAGGGTTAGGGTCAGGGTTAGGGTCAGAGTTAGGTTTAGGATTAGGGTCAGGGTTAGGTTTAGGGTCAGGTTTAGGGATAGGGTCAGGGTTAGGGGTTAGGGTCAGGGTTAAGGTTAGGTTTAGGTTTAGGATTAGGGTCAGGGTTAGGGTCAGGGTTAGGGTTAGGATTAGGGTTAGGGTTAGGTTTAGGGTTAGGGTTAGGGTTAGGGTCAGGGTTAGGGTTAGGGTCAGGTTCAGGGTTAGGGTCAGGTTTAGGGTTAGGGTCAGGTTCAGGGTTAGGGTCAGGTTTAGGGTTAGGGTCAGGTTCAGGGTTAGGGTCAGGTTTAGGGTTAGGGTCAGGTTTAGGGTTAGGGTCATGGTTAGGTTCAGGGTTAGGACATCGTTTATCTTCCGATTCCGTATAGACAGTCAAATTTCGTTTCCACCTCAGAAAGCTGCTTGTCACATGACCTAATCAAAATGACCGACTTGGATGTGGGAGGAGTCGGACATCCAACCGAGGCTCCTACAGACTCAGATTTGGAGCCTCCTGACGTAAACATTCATGTAAAAACGGCTCGTTTGAAATGGAACTCACCTGCCTGAGCGTTCCCTGAGTGGTGCAGACTTTATACAGCATCCAAAGGGGGATGCAGACCATGGAGGAGAGCGCCAGCAGCCAGCCAATCACATACCCCCACCACGGGTACACGTACTCATTGTTGTACTTTAAGGGAGTGTACTTAATGAGGGAGAAGGCAAAGGTACCCTGTGGATGGACATTTAAAAGCCTTTAAAAGAGACGTATTATACCCTATTTCAACAAGTTAACCTAGTTTCCTGGTGTCCTAATGTAATGTTTGTGACAAGCTTTGGTCAAAATCCCATAAGGATGAAGCCCAATAGCAGTTCAGTCCCCCTGCCTAACCCTAACCCTAACCCTAACCCTAACCCTAACCCAAAACAGCCCCGTTCAGAGCGCTCGCTTTGGAGTGCCTGTCTCTTTAAATGCAAATGAGACACAGGCAATCCGCCCACTTCTTCAGGGAGGTGTGCCCACGTCGGCCCGCTAACGCTACCATGCTAACGCTACCATGCTAACGCTACCATGCTAACGCTACCATGCTAAGGCTACCATGTTAACGCTCACACTAACACTACCATGCCAACACTCACGCTAACGCTACCATGCTAACGCTACCACGCTCACGTTACCACGACCATGCTAACGCTACCATGCTAACGCTCAAACTACCATGCTAACGCTCATGCTACCATGCTAATGCTACCATGCTCACGCTACCATGCTAAAGCTACCATGCTAAAGCTACCATGCTAAAACTACCATGCTAACGCTACCATGCACACGCTCACGCTACCACGACCATGCTAACGCTACCATGTTAACGCTACCATGTTAACGCTACCATGCTAACGCTACCATGCTAACGCTCACACTACCATGCTAACGGTACCATGCTAACGCTACCATGC